CCAGCAGTGAAGTTTCCAGTACGGACACAGCGCATCAAAGGGGGATCTTGACGAGGACATTCCCAGTTTTCAGTACTTGCGGTACTGATTACAGTAATTCCACCAGCGTGGAAAAACTTTGGGATTTGCTGATTGAAGTTCTTCAGCAGCATCTGCCTCTGACACAGACGGCGGCATGAGATGACTCGGTGGAGCCCACACCTGATCTTCATCAACTAAAGAGCTATCAACATTGGTCCAAAGGTCAATCAGCTTATTGCTGTCCTCTTCCGCATATAATTGAGCAATGTTATTCAAGATATTAGAATCCAGTCTTCTATAGTCAATAACATTGCCCTCTTGATCATAGGATCGTAAAACGCCTTCAGCATCAACATGTAGTACTCCATTGAGATCATATTTTACCTTTCTGACCGTTTCAGATACATCCGAGCCCATCTGCTATTTTCCAGAAAAATAAAATCAATCCAAAATTAGATTATATCATATGAAGAATGGGAAAAGGGAAATACATTGTATTACAATTGTATGAGCCATCGCAAGGAGAACCAGACTACCAAGACTAAGTATCATTGCCGTAAAATACTTCATAATCATTTATCAAAAGGCGGTTTTGTCACAATAGAAATATAGAATACTAGTATAATCGATTATATTTTAAATTAAATTATTAATTAGAGAATGTCATTTATTAACTACTCACCAATCACCCATAATCTGATCAGATAGAACTCTGAAGGGTTTATTTATACTTGGAATTTCAACTTATGAAAACGAATTATAGGTTCTAACAAATCTCATGAATATTTTCTAGAACACTAACCTTACATAAAATAATATATACCTTGAGAGATTAATTTTGTCGTCGTTTGCAGCAAAAAATAAGGTAGGAAGTAACCGTGGATAAAACAACCTTTGAAATTCCAGCTTGGAGCAATTATGAAAGTTCATCCCTTAGAACAGGTCTGCTTTCATATTCAAGTTGTCCTTAGAGTGGCGCATTTTGCTATCCCCTACCAACCCCCTCCCCCCCTGAACCCTCCTTCCCCCCGCCGCCGGAGCAAACGGAGTAAAATAAAGGTTTAAATTCGGAAGCTCACAAGTAGGGCTGTGAACCCGATGCCCGAACAAGAACCTTCCTGTTTCATGAAGATCCATTATAGATCAATAAAATAGCCACCAATCGGATAACCCAATGCGTAGATACATTCAGGGACTATCCAGCATCTCCGCTTAGATGTACCAGACTCTAATAGATATCCATCGGCTGCACTCAACCATTTTAAATTCTAAATTAAAATCCAAAATAATCAGATTAGGGTTACTACCGCGTTTTAGCTTGATAGCTAGGTAAATAATCTTTCTCAAATTCATCTTATTTAAGATTATAAGAACTATTAACTGCTGTATCAACTCAATATTTACCCTGAATCGATTGATAAAAATAGTCATTTTTAAATTGAAGCTAATCAACAGAACTTTTTATATAAATTCTCAGAAATTCAAAGTTTTCGAGATATTTTTTTTTTTTCAACGAGATACAACTGATTGAATCGTTTAAAAAATTTGTAGCGATTATCATTACATACAATGAGTGCAGCACGAGGAGGCAATAGGTCGATCGGTTTCCAATGCAAGCATACATTGCCTCTATTGACCGTCCAAAATGTAACGTTTTTCACTTCCCCAGCTTCAGCTCCAAGTGAGAATAATTAAGGGTAAAGGTAGCTGGAAGACACGGCCGGGTAGTAGTACAGTAAAAGAGAGGGAAGGTAATAACATATACGGACAAACAATGTTGTTGTATCTTCTTGGCTCGAGAAAAATGAAGAAATTTTTAAGGAGAAGACAGCGAGAAGAGAGAAACAATACAGGAGAATCGCCACAAACGCCATGAAGACTGCAAAGCACATGGCGCTGGGACAAAGCATGACATATGGAAATACAGGAAAGACGCATGCTGAAAACAAAACACAGAGGAACGGCAACGGGGGAATTTCCGGAAAAAGCCCAACAGGCGCAAAATATCGCTATCAGAGAAACACATGACAAGGGATATCGAAGCATGCCTTACATATCATTCGAAAAAAATGGAGGAAGAGAGAGAGAGAGAGAACAAAACATGAGGAGGCTAATAAACTGTGCCTTCAAAAGGAGCCGACTCCTTCAAATCCTCAACCAAATCCTCGACATTACTCAAATACTTCCCCAACAACACTTGTTTCTCCTCTGTCGTCTTCGTGTCACTTCCACGTGCATCTCTTCCCCCGTCCCCGGGCCCATGAAAGCTTCGCGAGAACGCACCAGCAAGCTTACTCGGACTCCGATGCAGGCCGGGGCCGAGGATAGCTGTATTTGGCGCACTCGCCGAATTCGCAGAGGGAATCGAAGGCGTTTCAGGCATGAGGTAGAAGTAAAGGAATTCGACAAGTTTGAGCTTTACCTCGCGCGATGTGGTGCGCATTTTGAATAATGAGGTTACCGTGAGAAGGCCGTCGAGGGCTTCGAAGGTGCGAGTGTTGGCAGGGTTATCGAGGAGGGCTGTTACGAGGGTTAGGAGGGTAGAGGATTGGATGGCAGGGCAATTGGCGGGTTCGAGAAGGTCGAGGAGAAGATTCATGTATATTTCGCGGGCGAAGAGGGAGCGGGAGGGTGGGTGGAGGAGGAGGGTTCCTTGGATCAGATCCAGGGTTGAAATGATGAGGCGGTCATTTGTGCCATTGCTGCCGCGTCCGAGGAGGTGCTCGAGACAAGATATCAGGCGCATAGCGACTGGGGAAGTTATTTTACATATGTTAGCTAATTTCCTATTTCCTTCCACCACTGCTGTTGATGACTGAGGATTAGAAAATTTGCCGGCGGGAGCTTACCGTTCCATTGGAAACCCTCTTGTAACTTAAAGAATTCTCGGAACGCAGGATCTCCACTCAATTCACTCAGAGGTTTCGCAGTTGCCAGAGTTATGCCGTTCGCGCCCAATGGCATTGCTGACCGGCGCTTGTCTGCAGCAGTGACTTTGGATTTTGACAGGCATATTTGCGCGAGGAGCCCTTCGACTTGCCGGAGCCCTTTGCGAATTTTACCTTGGTCATAAGATGACAAGTAGTCAAAGGAGTGGGCCAGGAGGGTCTCCATTAAGGAGGCCGGGTTGGCGCGTTGGTCGCAGTTATCCGGCCCTTTGTCCTGTTGAAAGAAAACGCAGTCGTCTCAGATATTAAGAGGACACAGTTGAAAGCTGTTTCTGCCTGTGGGAACAAAGCAATGCAGGGAACAGAAACACTCCAAAAATAAAATAAAATAAGATAAAATAAGATTGGAAAAACAAGAAAAGGAAATTACAGATTCTTAAAACACAGCATATCGTGAGATCTTGTCGTGGAAAAGCAACATTCCCGCTAATCTGGAGATCGATGGAGCTGAAGTCTCGTCATTCAAAATCGATGCGGTAAACAAGCGCCGATGGTTGTCCTGGCAACAGTACTAGTACGGATGCCAGCGCTCACGGGATGTGATTGGCGGATGTTTCCCCACCGAAGATTCCGCCAACGAAAGCCCATTGCGGACATTTCGTGCTTTCGTGGAGCTGGACGGTTTCCAGGTTTCCCCCGCGACTGCTCATTCTTGGATATTCCATAGGCACCTCGACTTTTCCAAATGATACTGGCATGAGCACCCTGTGTATTTGTCCTGTGACGAGCCGTGGTTCTACACCCTGTCGTCAGTTCTCTCTCCCAATGTATATGGCCTTTGCTAGGCAAACAGAACGCCGTGGAGCATGGAGAGCCTAGAGCATCCGTGGATACTAGTAAGATGTCTAACCATGGAGGGCTTCACGTTTCTCGGAGGATCAGGACAGATCCTTGATTCCCTTGGCATAACAAAAAAAAAAAAGAAAGTCAAAAACCTTGGTTGAGCCATCTACTGGTTTATTAGACGCAACCGGGCAGGAATTTCTTTAATACAATGAATGGACCTGGGTCGCGTGATCTGAAGTCGAATGGAAAAAATTGCCTTCTCATATTTCCATATTCACCTCTCATCCAATCGACTATTCAAGCGTTGGATTTAACCCTACACTTAGCCGCATGCGTCGTCGTTTCAACCCAGGCAAATGACCAAGGTCATGAACTTTTCCCTTCCACCTTGGATAAACTTTCGTTTCTGACGATAATAAGCGTGGCAGAATGAAAGGAAAAAATAATATAAAGTTTGCGGGGAATTTAAGGGGTCAAATGTGGGGTGAGCGGAAGAGTATCTACAAACGAAGAACCTTTGGGGGGGTGTCAAAGAATGGGGGAAACTTGAGGGCGGGAAAAAATGGAACAAGCTTAATTGTACAGTGCTCCGTCTTGGGAAGAGATTAACGACGGAGAAATGCTCAGCCCACTCACGAGCCTTGTTCGTAAATAAACCTATGAACTTCGCATCATTTGCTGTGTGATTCTGTTCCTGTAGAAAAATTCCCAGAGCAAAAGTGTAGGAGTCATTTGTTTGTGAAATGAATTAATTAATTAGTTAATGAATAAAATAATATATATACATACGATCTTTGTTTAGGCGCGCTGATGCAAATGAGCGGATAGTAAAAGAAGGGAGAAAGGAGCGATGCCGTATACCTTCCATCGCAACGGGGATGTTTTATCGAAGCTGAAGCAAACCTTGGTTCCACTGCCTATGACGCATGGATACATGGATTCTATCCTTCTGGAATATTGCTGATGGAAGACGGGTGATGGTTGATGGAGAATGTGGAGAACCCTCTGGGAGATTTTCTCATCGCCATCCGGTTGATCGGAACATGTCCAGTGCAATAGATGGGGACCGGGATATTCTCCTGAACAGCGTTTCTTATCCAATCGCGATCGCGTATTCCGATAACAGCTACTAAACCGAGTCTCGAAGAAACGGCAGAAGATTCTTTGTCATTGCGCATCTGGTCTGCGCCACGAGGTCTGTTTGAAAGTTGGAGCTAGACTAACTCAAAATGAATCCAAAAATCAAAATGCGGGATTTTCAGCATTCTATTTCACTCCTCGCCTAAGTTGACAAGCAAAATACAGAAGCATCTGGCTCCTTAGCGCTGGACAAAAAATTGATCAAAAACGGCCTTGTACCGCACCCTGTCGAAACGAACAGACCTAGCGCCACTCTTCTTGGCTTTTTAGACCGATGAGTTGTGACCAGTGGTCTTACCATTCAATCCGCAGTCTGTCACGAGTGCATAAACAGTACCTGCTCTTGTTCGGCGAGTTTGAAAGGGAAAAGCGTCAGACTGTTTTGGCCTCAGTGCAGTTACGAGGCGGGAACCAGACACGAACGAGTAAGGTAGTACCTCCATAGTACTTTTAGAAGCGGGCGGCGCACAATTACTCTATAGGCCTAAAGATTTTTTGAAATCATATTGAAAATGTCAGTACTCCGTACAGGCATCTTTTTACAATTTTCCCCCCAGCCCTCTTTGCCTGGGCCAAGGTTGTTTTGGCTGATTTATGACAGAGCCACAGAAACGCCTTCAAGGCTTAGTTATCCTGGCGGGGTCGATCCAAGCCAAGCAAACGTTTGCCCAGAGGATTCGGTAATTCGTTCCATTTGGCGGTCCCCGAATCGATCGTTTTTTCAAGCCCCCGACAGGCCCAAGCCGGGTGGCAGGAGGCATCTTAAGGTGCCTGGAACTGTAACTAGCTAAGGCGCTTGCGAAGTGAGGTGACCCCAGGTTGATTATTGGCTATTGGCAATCTCTTATTTTTGCCGATTTTCATGTTGTCGTTCAATGTTCCCCGCACCGGGAACTCTAGCAGGAGATGTAAACAGAATATATATATATATATATAAGAAAGCGCATCATCTAGGCCAACAAGAGAATCAGGGATGCTTCCTGTCAGTATCTTAGTGAGTAGGTTAAAGCTTGGCGGAGAATTTTCTTCCCTGCACCATGTTCTGGGCCTATAAAGAGGGCAACCTTGCCGACGAGAGAGCAAAATGCGAGGAATTTGAAACTCGATGCGCGGGGGAAGAAAATTTTGAATCATACTTTCGCATGGCCTATTCCCAGTAAATCAGCCCACAAGTTTGGATACGAAAAAAGAGGCGAGTTGGGTCAATTGAACTAATCGTTAGTTGATCCGAGGCTTAATTTAACTCGAGCAGATTTCCTCTAAAATAGGCTGCTGGTGCTGGGATATCCTAGTTCAACTCTTGCCCCACATGACAGAGCCTTGATTTGACGGCCTCAACCTCACGAGAGTCATAGCATATTGCATATTGACATTCCCTGAGTGACGATTTAGCTGGGATGCACATTACATGCCCATGCCCGTGAGGAAACTCACAGCATCATTCGAGTGGATTGCACCACGATCGCCTCATCGTCAATCGAAGCCGTGCTGACGGGCGAGGAGGACCCTGGGCAGCGGATGATTGACGCATGCATATTGCCCTTGCTAGTTTCTTCTTTCGTGATCAGCAATGCGGGGCTTAGTTCTTCACCTCAGTCCCTCAGTGGAAAATGGAAAATATGCCCCAAGGATAATCCCAAACTCGACTTCGCTGATGGGATGGGAGGCGAAGTCAAGCCCCCGCTGCTGGCAGCTCTTAGTAATTGACTCGAAACCTTGCAAACGGTTTCCGGGGCCGCAACGCAACAAGAAACCCGACAAGAAATACAGTCTATAACCTCGAAAAAGCTAAAAACTTGTACGCAGTAAACTTGTCGCCGGGAACGGACGAAATTAGCCCCTTTCAGCATGCTCCCTCCAGCTCTCCCAGCCATTGAGAAAACGTCGTGCAACTAGCGGGCGCTGATCTGCCCATGCATTGGTGCTTTCTATATTTATATACAGAACGCACCCCTAAACAATTGCCACATCGACTTGCTCTCCCAGAATTGCACAGCTCTTCATACTAACCCGCCTTTGTGATTGTTTCACTCTTCATCCCAACATGTCGAAGGAAGGTGATGCAGTGTATGTAGCTCCAACCGGAGAATCGCGTCCTCTCGCTGGCTCTTGTAACATGACTGACCATTGATTTGTCTGCCTTGTCTAGGGTTGTCGAAGATGGTGAAAGACGCGCGTCCGTCTTCAATGATCCGCACGCCCGCAAACAAAGCGTCGTTGCGATGACCGAAAATGTTGAGGGAGAGTGAGTATTTTGACGATATCTTCACGTGTCGTGTAAATTATCTTTTTCTACGCGTCACGCTGACCACTTTTTATTTTTCAGAATCAAAAATCCTTTGTCTGACATACCCAAAGACAAACTGCTGGACGATGTCGAGCATTTCGCGAGGGAAAATGACCTTATGGACATCCTTCCGCACATGAATAAGGGTGCGCTCGTCGCTAAGAGCCCCCGTGACTTTGAGAGTCTTGAGGAACTGGACGAGGCGGACAAGGAAGTTTTAAGGAACGAGGTCCTCCACCGATGGAGGTTGCCTTGGGCGCTTTACTATACCATCATTCTCAATTCTATTGCTGCAGCCATTCAAGGATGGGATCAAACAGGTACGCAAATTTTGTATTTTTATTACTTAAGGATTAAGTAATCTCCTGCTAACGCAGTTACTCTCTAGGATCCAACGGCGCAAATGTGTCATTCCCTCTAGAGTTCGGAATCCAAGATAGCGGCGATTGGTGTAATCTAAGCGCGGCAAATGAGGCAGCTTGCGACAGAAATTCATGGATCGTTGGGTTTATAAATTCAGTACCTTACATTTCTATTGCCATTTTGTAAGAAGCTACTTTTCCTCTCTGCAAAGATTACGGATAGCTTGTTTTGAATGGTTCTAACTTCTTTTGTTACCCGATGTCAATTTCTATAGCGCTGGTTGGCTAAGTGACCCAATCAATAATCTTTTCGGACGTCGAGGAACCATCTTCATCGCGGCTGTTTTCAGTTTACTAGCCCCCATTGGCTCTGCTGTGACGCAAAAATGGGGTGAACTAGCTGCTTGCCGTATTCTTTTGGGGATTGGCATGGGCTTGAAAGAAGTTACTGTCCCAGTGTTTTCAGCAGAGAATACCCCGGCTAATGTGCGTGGTGGCCTTGTCATGTCATGGCAGGTCTGGACTGCTTTTGGTATTTTGATGGGAACCAGCGCCAATCTCGCGGTTGTCCACGCTGGAGATATTACATGGCGCTTACAACTGGGATCAGCCTTTATTCCTGCAGTCCCTCTGGTTATTGGCATCTTTTTCTGCCCGGAATCCCCGAGATGGCTTCTGAAAAAGAAGAACTACAAGAAAGCGTATCGTTCGTTGCTCCGACTTCGTAACACACCGCTTCAGGCTGCCAGAGATCTGTACTATATCCATGCCCAGCTTGTCCAAGAGCAAGTTCTGCTTGAAGAAAGCGGCCTTGCGAAAACTGATAACTTCGTTACTCGATTTGTTGAACTGTTCACCATCCCACGTGTTCGTCGTGCAACGCAAGCTTCTGGTACAAAACCCCGGTCACTTTACCCTAACTTGCGAATTGGTGTCAATCGTGCATATTTATGCTAACCGACCTTCCCTATTCCAGGTATCGTAATGATTGGCCAGCAAATGTGCGGAAGTGAGTCATTGGCAGGCATATTACTATATAGAGACCTCCATCTTCTGTTCCCCAATTTGCATAACCAACCGACCGTGTCCCTGATATCCCTGACAAACTTGCATCTCATTCGTGCAGACACTAATCCTTGAATAACTTCAAACATAGTCAATATCATCTCCTTCTATTCAACGACGATATTTATCCAAGCAGGTGCTAGCAACATCGCGGCGCTCCTGGCCTCGTTCGGATTCGGTGTTGTCAACTTTGTCTTTGCCTGGCCGGCGGTCTGGACCATCGACACTTTTGGACGGCGTGGCTTGCTGCTTTTCACTTTCCCACAGATGTTTTGGACCCTATTAGCAGCCGGATTGTGTTTCTACATCCCCGAGGAAAATAACGCACATATCGGCCTCATCGCCTTCTTCGTTTACCTCTTCTGTGCCTTTTATTCACCGGGAGAGGGTCCAGTGCCTTTCACATATTCCGCAGAAGTATTCCCCCTCTCTCATCGTGAGATGGGGATGAGCTGGGCAGTCGCTACGAACAATTTCTGGGGTAAGAAATCATGTTTTCTAAAAAGCAGCCCAAGGTCCCAAATGGAATTCTAGAAAAGGAAAAGGAAATGAAAATGAAATGCTAACCCCCTGAGAAATCATGAACCAGCTGCTGTGCTTGCCCTTACATTCCGCCGTCTACTACGCGCATTCAAGCCACAGGGTGCCTTCGGCTTTCTATGCGGCTATGAACATAGTAGCCCTGGTACTAATCTTCCTCTTCATGCCCGAGACCAAGCAGCGTACGCTAGAAGAGCTCGATTATGTCTTTGCCGTCCCAACCCGTACGCATGCGTCGTACCAGCTCTTCACTGTGCTGCCATGGTGGATCCGTAAGTATATATTTTTCCGCAGGAATGCGGTCTGTCCCGAGCTGTATCATTTGGAGTTTACATCAGATACGGAGGATAGGAAGAGGGCTGCTGTGCGTGAGACTGGTGCTATGAACGCGGAGATTGCGTAGGATTTTCCTTGTGTGATTTCGTAAGAGAGAGAGAGAGAGAGAGTGTGTGTGTGTGGGTGGGTGGGTGTGTGTGTGTGTGGTGTTGGTAAAGTTGGTGCCGGTGCTGGATGGAAATGTAAAGCGATAGAACAGTACATACATGAAATACTTTCTTGGATATGTAGTAGAGATCGAAAATCGGGGATGGCTGCTTCTAACGCTACCAATGGCCCTTCCTGTAGGTAGCCGCAGGAGGAATGTGCGATGTAAGGTATAATTTTTTTCAGCATGGACATAATTATTATCTCCCTTTTATTCACTGCACTTCGAAACAGAGGAACGGTAATTGGAAACATCAAGAAAAGGCGAAGAGGATAGCGGGAGATACGGTACGAATCAAAACTTCGTTTGTGTGACAACAAAGTCCATTCGATCTCTCTATATATATCTTGGTTTTTGCCTCCCTCTCCACCCATCATCGTCTGATGTTTTGGCTTATATCACTAGACACTGAAATTATAATGCGAATGGTGAATGATTCGCACCGCCCTCGGGTGGTACCCGTGCTCTTGCAACGGGTTGTGACATAGATAGGTATCTAATTGTACTTCAGAAGGATGTGTTGCCCGTAAAAACGAGCTCAAACACACGTTCCTCTGCGTCCTCGATAGAGACCTTTTCGTTCTTCCTTCCGTAATATGTATGGGTCGGGGAAGGGGGGAAGGGGGGAAGGGCGTTATCATGCAGAGATAGCTTTACCTATGGATTCTGTGGTGCTTCTCGCTCCATGATCCTGCGCGCCAGAGTATCACTGATACGTACAGAGTATCCTGCCAGCGGCCGGCCCAGCCATACCAAAGGCTCCTAGTAGCAACGCAGGGAGTCGTTTCGTTTCGATCCAGATAGATACCTAGCTGGCCTATCCACGCGTAGAAGGTTGCCCACCCAACCGCCCTCCTTACCCAAAACAGCATTCCTTCGTCCATTCACCCAGCACTGCCCAAAATAGCTAAAAAATATTGACTCAAAACTCCGAGAAATGTGTACAGTACCAACGAACAGCTGACCCCAGTGGCCTAGCGGGGAAAGCCGGCCCCCGCTTAGGACTGCTGGCGTGGTCGGCTGTTCGATTCCCACCCAGCGCGCTTTGCGAGAGCAGGGTAGGGAAGAGGACGTAGCACCCCCGAGCCAACAGCTTGGAGGTGTGAACCTTTTTGAATATATATATATATATTATATATATTATTAATTCTTTTTTTCTTCCAACTTTGTTTCTTCTCCATCAATGCAGGGCTTTCGCCTATTTGTCGTTATGACAAGTGACGCGGTTGGCGATGGCGATGGTTTTGTATCAGTGGTTGTCATTGTTGAGGTGGTGATGAAGGATAACGATGGCGTTTCCCAACTTCAAAAACAGATCTGGCCAGAGCCTTTGGCATACACTTCGCAACACCCCAGAAGCAAGAAACAGTTTGCGTTCAAATGGTTATATAGTCCGTCAAGTGGGCGATATGTGCTATCTCATCAACATCGAGGAGACGACGATCTGAGCACTTAGGCTGATCTTTTCTCCCTATACACATGCTCAAGCAACATTTCCGCTTTAAAAAACGAATGTATCAAACGGCCAGAAACGATACCATGGTGGTGATGGACATTCGAATGAAATATCCGAAAATAGAAACCCATCTTCCTGCCTGAAAGCTTTTGAGATCGGGACAAGCTCTCTCGGGTAAAATGGGCCCCAGGGAGCATTTTAGAGTAGAAATTAGCTTTTAGAGCAAGATGCTAATCCCTGTGGCGATGAAACATGGGATCGGGAGCTCAAGGGGCAAGATAATTGTCCGGTCAACGGGAGCAAATACATGTAGATCCTGGCAATGCTGGCGTTACCGTGCAGTGCTGCACTGCTCGTAGTTAGGAACCTGGAATGCAACTTAGCCAGCTTGGGAAGTATATTGCATCATAGAATTTTGCTAAGCCTGGGAGTAATCGCAGCCATCGTAATTCTGGAACGGGACAACACCGTGTTCACCACCACCAGTCCTAAAGGGGATAAGTCGCAACCGGTGCAGTATCAGGCGGCAAAACAATCATGAAGCTTCTCTTTTGACCACCGTCCCCAGGCGACTTCAACGACCCAGCAATCTGTTTTCTCTTCTTATCGACCCGGAAATACGAACCTCGGAGTGCGGGCGGGAATGAGCGCTGAAAGGCACCTAGGCCAGAAGTATAAATTCCCGGCCATTTTTGCGCATGTTCCTTGCACAAGAGTGGGAGGTACCTATCCGGGTGTCCTACGACCCAGCAGCTTGAGACTCCATTCCTGATATTCGTCACACAGTTTTACCTTTAGAAAACGACCCCTTACATTTCCTTCCAGCTAAGCGAAGGATTTTTCATTGTTACATCTGTACTGTTCTACCTTATTTTAGAGATCTCCAACGCCCCTCTGGAACCGTGATGGAATCCCTAGCATCCCCAAACCCGATTCCCCCGCGTACCAGCTCTACGGGGGTTACAAACGGCACCTTAGACTCCACCATGAGCGGTAATACCAACGGGTCCAGTTCTCGGAATTTGGGCTATAAACCACCCCCGGAGTCCAAGTGGGTCGCTCCCTTGGGAAGGCGGCGGACATCAAATCCGTACAAGTTTTCTTTGGGCCACACTCGGAATCGATCCAGCGTCGATGGCTCCAAGTACAAGGACGGAACGTGGTCACCGGAGAAGGAGAAGATACTGCTAGGCCCTTACGATTACATGGTCGAACAGCCCGGGAAGGATCTACGACGACAGTTCATTGCTGCATTTAACCGTTGGTTACATGTTCCTGAAGAAAGCATCGCAACAATCACCAAGGTCGTTGTAATGCTGCATACTGCTTCGTTACTGTAAGTGTCCCCTCAGCGGGAGAGTTTTGCGCTTTTGGTACTGGGGAAGCATTGCTCATACAATAAACGCGGTTTCATAGCGTCGATGACGTTGAAGATTCTTCTACACTTCGACGGGGAGTTCCAGTGGCGCATAATATATTTGGAACGGCTCAGACGATAAATTCTGCGAACTACGTCTACTTTCTCGCTCTGGAAGAGGTACAGAAACTCAAAAGCCCGAATGTGATAAATATCTACGTGAAAGAATTGTTAAACCTGCACCGAGGACAGGGCATGGATGTTTTCTGGAGGGACACCCTCACTTGCCCAACAGAGGATGATTATTTGGAAATGGTCGGCAATAAAACAGGGGGTCTTTTCAGGCTTGCAATTAAACTAATGCAGGCCGAAAGCGACACGGGAATGTAAGTCACCACCACCATATTACCACCGTCCCAAATATCAAACTGCTAATAACGGTCAAATCTGTAGTGATTGCGTCACTCTCGTCAATCTCATGGGCCTCATCTTTCAAATCTGCGATGATTATCTCAACCTTTCCAATTCAACATACAGCAAAAACAAGGGACCCTGCGAAGACCTCACGGAAGGCAAATTTTCTTTCCCCATAATCCACAGTATCCGCTCCCAACCCGATAACCTCCAACTTATCAATATCTTGAAACAGAAAACGACGGATGAGGAAGTCAAACGATACGCTGTAAATTACATGGAGAGCACGGGAAGTTTTGCCTACACGCGCAAAACAGTTATGCAACTACGAGACAAGGCTTTGACCTTAATTGATGAGCTGGAGAATTTGACGGATATGACCCAAGGTGCTAATCAGAAAGAAGAGAGAAGTGGAGACATGGTACGGAATATCCTGCATAAAATGGTTGATGCGACGCTGAACATTGGATGCGATGAGAAGAGAACTTGAAGGGGTGAGTACAGGAATCAACAGCCATTCTGCATTTGAGGAATGATTGTTTAATTATTTCGACTAGTTATTTTTAGTATATACATTTTTTTCTCTTTCCTTCTTTTGAAGTATACTATGACCGTCCACTGATTCTTCATATGATTTTATGTACCTAGTCTAGAAGGCTGCTTCCTATCTTTGGCTTCCGAAGGTACTAACTAGTTCTACCATCTAAAAACATATCATCAGCAGCATGTCGAAATTTAAGGTATAATTATTATGGAAATTTCACAGCAACACACACATTACATGATTTGGATCAGGTCTCCATTTTACCTTCTCGTATATAGCAATTCTCTCTATGCATTTTCCACGAGGCGGACAATCAACTAACTCAAAATAGTCATATCACATGATGTGCAATTATCCTGTGAAGTGTCTGAGAAAAAATGCAGCACAGGAACAATTTGCTCTAAATCTTATGTACAGTATGAGTGAGGATAGTAAACCAACTCCATCTATTCAGCAACTCTGTATCATCTTAGAATCTAGATAAATCAATGTTCTCACAATGGTATTAATTTTTATTTTCATATTCTCAAATCTTAAATATGAAATATCATCTCAAAGTCAATCCATTTTTTTTTTTTGGAACATGGAAAGGATTTGCTATTTACTTGATTTCAATAAGAAAATAAAAGTGATTTTTCAACAAGATACATCTATATTAAATATTGATTTTTTTAATAGAAAAATTATATATTTATATTCTTCTTCTCTTTAACTACAACCTAAGGTGGTGTAACGGGTTAGCACCCGTCAGTGGTTAACTTGCGCAACCAATCCCCTACCGCCCGCTCACGTGATTCCGTCCCACAATCGTGTATGTTCCTAATGATTTAATGATTCTTCCACCCTGTACTTCTTCAGAGCATGACCTCTGATATTCTTTCACTCCAATTCTTTTACTTATAAGAACCCTCTTCGTACGACCTTTCCTTCTGATTTCTTTTTCTCTTTCTTTCCTTAATCAATTCGTAATCTGTAATTAGGATAGTGTTTAGTCCGTTAATCGGTAGTACGCCCGTTACAGATGGTTCACAAATCTCAAAGATATATGACTATTGTGTAATTGAAGTCAAAGTTGAGAAATTTGAAGAATCTATGAAAATCTCAATAATCTTCACAAAAGTATGAGCCATTTCTTATCAGACCCTCTGGCGAGGATTGCTTTATACACATAGCTTATAATTATGTTAGCTGTTGTGGGGATTGGGTTGGGTGATTCGTACCCTCTATACCACCATGGCGCTGGTGGGGAGGTGGATGGCGTAGTGGTAAGCACTGTTCATGAAATGCTTTCTCAAGTAGGCACTTAGTGTTAAGGTTATCACTGCTGAGACAAGAAGATAGTGAGTTCAAATCTCACCCTCTTCAAAAGAATATTATCATATCTTGATGGATATTGAGGGTATTCTTTCTTATCTTATTTATATTGATAACTGCCACTGCAGGGTGGAGCAATGTTCAACACTATGTATATAGTTTAGATAAATTCAGTATAATGTGGGATTTTAAGGTGTTGTGTGTCCTTACACATCTAATTGTGGTCAAGACCTCACCCACGTTGCCCCTTTGGGTGGGTCCCACCCAAACGATATTTTCATCGCAATGATATTTTCTCAACTATTTTGTACTACCTATGTGAGAAAAGTCCCAATAACCCTGTCTATTTATAGTAAAAAGCTCATTATCTACATCCTCAGTACCTTTTTCATTTGAATGATTTAAAATATTGGCAATCAGAGCTTGTTCAGCTGCCTGTGTACCTGGCGCTCATGCAGCTGCTGCAAGCTCTCATTGTATTTGATTGATGGATTTCCACATATCTTCTGCTTTACACTCTGCAATCTGTCTTTGACATTCTTGACAGTCATCATTTCTTTTATATTAATCTGTCTTCATGATCTTTTTTCTTTTTGATGTTGATGAGTTGTAAGAAGTTGATTGAGATTCTGCTCATGTTGAGCATTAAATTTCATTTGTATTAAACTCTCTGTAAATATATTCTGAAGATGATGACTCAATTTAGAAGAACTGTCATTAAGATAGTTCTCAATATCCTTCAATGCATCTTTTGCCTTTGTAATATTATGTCAGAGATCATGTATATTTTTTAATAAACATGTCACTGAGAATGATGACTGTAATTCTGCACTTTTATTATCATCTCAAATCTGTAGATTTGAAACAGCAGAAAGGCGGGCCTCTAATTTATCAAGAACAAAATCAGAGTTATAAAAAAGGATTTCACAGCTGAAGAAGCTGTGTTTAATAGTGACTGATTTGAACACATCTTTACAGATTGCAGATAGATTATATAGAAATTCTCATTTGTCAAATTGTTGAAATCCTTCACATATTGTTTGATTGACTGCTTTGCCATGGAAGTGCTTTGTAAAAAACCCGCACTAAGGTGCCAGTGCTAGGCCGGAATTAGCGATAGCCTTAAAGATATGACATCGCCGAACATAACACCACCAACGTCATATCAGGATATGACATCGCCGAACATAGCTCCACCAACGTCATATCAGGTTTGAAATCAAGGCATTATCTTGCCACTTGCATCATACTACGCCATCTACATCATAGCAAGTTCGATCTGCTTATGATACTGTGTGTATATAGCTAGCAGCTGGTCCAACCTTCTAGGGACCAGCGGATCATTCTGTTATAATCTGACCCTTACGTTCTACACCCTCAATATCTAACTACTTGATCCGAATCCTCTCCGATATATCACCGTATTATCTCCTACTGCTTGATCCTCGTAGAGTCCTAAGGACCAACCGAAATATAAGTAGCCATTTCCAACATCGCTGCTTACATGCTTATATTGATGAAAGGATAGATCATTCAAAGGTTGTAGAATATGTGTACTGTGAGAAAGAAAGATGTATAATATGATGTTGTTTTTGTTGCAATAAATAATGAATTTGCAGATTAAATGAGAGTTATGATAATCTGCAAGAAAAAGTCTATATTGTGAGGGGTGATGACAGTGTGAAGAGTGAATAGTAGAAGATAGTATATAGTGTAGTGAAAGATAATAGTAATAATAATTATAGTAGTAGTGTAGTTGAAGTTGTAGTTGTAGCTAATCGCTGAAGAGGAAAAGAAAGAGAAAGAAGATGTGCGAAATACATGCATCCATATATATATAAATATAGAAATAGTGGTAGCGAGAGTATAATGGAAAGAGGTAAGAATAGACGAAGATATAAACAAAGATAATAATAAGGAAATAATAAACGAGTGCATTATATATATCCACTAACCTGTCATTTCTTTGAATAGTGATCAAAATGAAGCAGTCATTGATACCCAATCTCATCATTTATATAGCCAGTAGAAGAGGTAGTTAGAAGCCAGAAATCAGAGAGATTTGTAAATGTAATTCAATTCTTCAATAGATTTTTATCTTGCAAGATCATACAGAGTGAAAGAACCTCTTCATCTGTGGATATACACTCTATTATTATATTCAATGATTGTGAAAAGAATGAGAATAGAACTGCATTTATCTTTTTAAAGGCTGTAATGACTCACTCTGCACATCCTTGACCCTTTTGAAATCTAATCTCATTCATATTGTAGCAATTCATGAGTAGAATGCTGTATTGTTTCATTGTGATCTCCAATCTGTCAAACCACACCTTTATAAGCCTAATATCCTCTGCAGACACTCATTTTGAATCCATTGAACACTGTGTAATTCACTCATAATCATCAAGGCATTTGATGAATCTATAGAGCTAGTTGTGATCAACAATGGGAGGAGGATTTGCAGGATCTGTATGATACTCTGCAAGGATTGAATTCGCGTATTTTTGAATCACCTCAATGGTGGGGGGTTGACCAGCCTTCTCCAACTGTGCAATCCATGCTTTTAAGGCCTCCTCTGTGTGGAATCCAATAAACAATTGATTGGCTTGTTCTTTGTTAATGAGTTGACTCCCTGGATCTTTCTGTGGAGGGCTTGATAGCTGACCTTATATTCACACAACAGAGGTTTGATTTTTTGAGTTGTATTGCATTTATAAGCGTCTACTGCCTCTAGAATGCGATCTTCAGTGATTTGACAAAATTTAGTCATATTGTGGTTGAGATATTAATATTTGAATAATAATAGTATGGAATAATTGAGGAATAATTGAAAAATATCATTGC